CATGACACCATCAGTGTGCTGGAACGAGAACGCATCGTTGCCGAGTCCGAGCAGCTGAAAAGCAGCGGTCGAGCTGCTACGACGAGTTCTGTTTCCATGCGGCTCAAAGGCTTGGAAATTCCTGCTGTTCGCATCCGCGAGGTGTTGCAAAACTGCAGGAAGCATTGGGGGCCTCGACACGAACTTTCACAGAAAGTGCTCGTAGTTTGCCTGCGTTTGTCAACGCACTCGATGATCCGAATCTGAACTTTTGAGTTTCTGGAGATAGAACCACATGTGCAATGGGTGGCGACTTTGGAGCCAATGTTAGCTGCTCTGGCGGAGTTGAAGCCCACGAGGCTCTACATCACCTCGGATGCCACTCATAACCTAGAATTGCTTGGACAAAAATACGGACTTGTGAGTATCTTGGTTTTTGAGCACGAGTTCGAAATATGTAAATGTACATAATCGCGCATGAAGAAATATTTTTCTTTATGTATATTTATATATATATATATGTATATGTATGTATATATATATATATGATATATGTATTTCTTAAAGATGCTAAATCCTTTCCTGAGGCCATGTTTCTTGTCTGTGAATCCAAGGTTGTATAGTATATCGTCGGTTCCAGGGTGAGTTTCGGAAGAGCTGCTGGCCGATCGCAGTGTTCTCGAGCAAAACCGAGGATGGAGCGATTTACGGAAAAGTCTTTGACGTAACGAAAGCTTTACTTTCGAAGTGGCAGTTGCCAGAGGTGATACAAGTCCACTTGGACTGGTTCCCTGGTTCGCGCAGCAGTGCCAAGGCTCACTTCCCACATGTCCGAGTAAAACGGGGCATGGAACACCTCAGGCGTAATCTGCTACATAATCAGGGTCCCAAGAAGAAGAAGAAAAACAAAACACGCAGTCCGAAAGCAGAAGCAGCTTCAAAGCGACGAGCTCGTGGCTTTGATCGACCGGAGCCCGACAGGGCGGCTCCAAAGCTGAACCGGAACATATATTCTGTCCTCAACGTTCTGAGTGAGTTGATGTGGGCCCCAACAGCCGCTTAAGTGGAGGTTTGTCTCGAACTGTTTCTGCGCCGAGTTGCTGATGTCTGGGATGAATCCCGATTTCGCGACTACTTCGTTCGGGTTTATTGGCAAAAGAAAGATGTCGAGAAAGCTGTCTACGGGCAAAAGCAAATTTGGTTGCCAGAATGGTGGTCGGGAGTTTCAGCCCAGCGTCCTGGCTTTTTGAGCAGCCAGCAACCTGCTGAGGAGATCAACTGTTCCTTGAACTCAGTGGGCAATGTGCGTGTGTGTGTGTGTGTGTGTCTGTTTTTTTGTTTTTTGTGTTGTCATGCTTTTGTGTGTGTGTGTGCCTCTGTGTAAGCTCAAGCTGTTTCGACGCAACCCACTTGGCCTGAGGTAAGGTCAAGCGAGATGTGCGAGCAGGTGAGGTGAAGCTCACGACGCATCAAGCCGTCGTGGAGGGCATCGGGCGTGCGGTTGCGGGATGGTGTAAGCCACTTTCTCTGGCCGACGAGCAGACCAACTCTCCCATCACCCTCATGGGCCGCAGTGTTTCTTGCGAGATGCCGCTTCACCCTGATTTGTGGATGATTCAGGACGGCCGTAAGATCCGCAGGCCATTCTCCGACCAGCTGGTTCCTTCCCGAGCATTCATGTTGTGCTCAACAAAATGAGAACCTGCTGTCGTCGTCTGCCATACGAGGAACTGCGTGGAGCAAAGTTCAAGTGTCTTCTCGGGCAATAACATACCTTTCAATTTCAAGGATAGTTTGTTTGTTTGGGCTAGGGGGCTGGGGGCCACGGGCGCAGGGGAGTACAGAAGTACAGATTTCGGCATCTTGAGCGTCTCGAAAATCGCACTCCCTCGCGCCCGTGCTCTGGCCTTTCTGGGGTCGCACGGCTCGAAAATCGTACGCCCCCTCGCCCGCTCTGCCCTGTCTGGGGTGCAGGGCGCGGGGGGCACGGGTGCGGGGCAGTACAGATTGGCGTTTTGAGCCTTGAACGTCTCGAAAATCGTACTCCCCCCCGCGCCCGTGCTTTGGCCTCTCTTGGGCCCAGGGTGCGGGGGGACAGATTTCGGCATTTTGCTTCCCGCAAAATCGTACTTCCCCGGCGCCAGTGCTCTGGCCTCTCTGGGGTCCAGGGAGCTGGGGGGCACAGGCGCGGGGGAGTACAGATTTCGGCGTTTTGAGCCGTGAAAGTCTCGAAAATCGTGCTCTTGTGCGGGGAGGGGGGGAGTACAGATTTCGGCGTTTTGAGCCTTGAAGTACAGATTTCGGCATTTTGAGCCTTGAAAGACTCCAAATTCGCGCTCTGGCCTCCCAATTTCAGGATTCCAATAAGTTCGAGGCAGGTCTTGTCCGGAACTCTTTGCAGGTACCTTTGCCTCGCGATCGGGCAGCCAAGAGCCATAGCGCAGGGACTGCTTTCTCGCATGGTTGCCATTCTGCAGGTGCGGAATACATCGCGGATGCAAACTTTGTTGCGAGCGGAAGGAATTGTCGAGGAGGCAGATGGGAGCGAAAAGTTCAACAAGACCAAGCATGCCGAACTTTGGAACACATATTGTCTTGCTTGGCTTCAAGAGCCGGAGGTCGAGACCGGCGACCTGATCACTAATTGCACATGCTGGTTGAATTGCAGCCGGGGACATTGCATCCACCGGTATGTCATTCGCGGGTGGTTCGGCCATCCGATTCCGCAGCCGCCTGCTCTTACCATCGAAGCCTTTCGCGGCAAGTCCGCGGCAGAGGCGCTTGCAGTTTCTGAGGAAGAAGACTGTCCCAGGCGCCGTGGAGCCAGTCAGTCGTCATCTGCCGCACATGATGCCAGGAAAATACGAAAATGGTGCCGGAATTGCTGCGCATGTTTTGTTGCTGTCCCGGGGCTCATGCCAACTTGTCGCACGGAATCCTGGGCAGGTTTCCATCTCACAGATGTTGGCGAGGACACGAGTTCCAGACTTACATCCTGACTTGCTTGCGAGTAGCGCATCCTCCCAGGAAGACCTGCTTCTAGCAGAGCCA